CAATAATAATAATAATTACAATAATAATAATTTAAAAAGACACTTTTCATTTGCTTTTGCATCATTTTAGTTCTTATATCGGCTCACACTCGTGTTCTCACACCCTCAGTGCCTAATGAGGAACTTTCCTGCAGTCAAGGTAGCTTTTAAGTGGCACTGTTCTGGACGTGCACAATCTTCCTGACAATTAACAGGGTAATGTGGGAAATGTTGATAAATATTTTGTGTGATGTTTCATAGTGTATTTAAATGATTAACTATGAAGTTATCAAAAAAAGGTTATTTTATAGTTTTTTATAGCATTTGAATGTGTAACAGTACAAAGAGGAGATGGAGAGACAGGAAATAAAAACAAAACAAAAAAAAAACAACAATGAAGGAGAAAAATGTGGGTAAAACAGTGCTGATGTTTGTCTCCATAATGAGTTATATGTTTAGGAGACCTCACCTACCACTTCAAGGTTATTCTCAATGTGTCAAAAATGATAGAAAAGTAAGAACATATGGAATATGTATAACACTGACTGAGCAGCAATACAACAGATTTTTTTTTATTTCTTAGTTGGAATTAGGGTTGGGCAAAATTATCAAAAGAAAAAAAAACATTAATTGTGGAGTGAGGAGTAATTGTGTCATTTAGCCAATAACAAATAATAAATGATATTTGCACTTGCATGTGTTTGACTCTAAATCATTTACCCTGTGTTCTAAAATTATACTTACAAACCACCAGTCCAATTACCTTCTTCATTTGAAGGGATTAAAATATTCAGCTGTGAATTGAAACCCACATTTGCATATCTATAAGTAACCATAACTGAGTTGTGGTGGAACTAATACTTTTAGGTTTAAGCCAGTAATTCATGACATCCTTTAATGACCTAGTTTTTCATGACATGCTGTTCATCAGCAGATAGAATGATTAAAGTCAGATCAAGATTTGCTAACAACAATAAGCATTCTTAGATATCACTTGTGTTTGTGTTTTCCCTTGACCTTGTATCAAATCTTGCTA